ACTGTGTATGCCACTACGATTCTTAAATCTCTCAAACCAACCTTTGCAGGCTTTAAATTCACCAATATGAGCACTAGTTCCAGGCGTTTTTTCCTGTTCACCTGGGTGTTAGTCGACTGGTGTGGATTGCATCCTGGGAGACAAGATTAAGGACCCCAATGGAAATAAGTTAGACAGTCTTCGATGACACTTTTTTGGGTTATCCTGGGTGGCTAACCCTCTGGGGTTAATTGTTTCTTGGTATTCTCAATAAGCCACACCAACAACGGTGCTACAGCAGCAGCAGCAGCTGACAGTGCTACAGCAGCAGCAGCAGCTGACAGTGCTACAGCAGCAGCAGCAGACGATGCTACAGCAGCAGCAGACGGTACTACAGCAGCAGCAGGAGCAGACGGTACTACAGCAGCAGCAGCAGCAGCAGACGGTACTACAGCAGCAGCAGACGGTACTACAGCAGCAGCAGCTGATGGTGGTACAGCAGCAGCAGCAGCTGACAGTGCTACAGCAGCACCAGCAGCTGACAGTGCTACAGCAGCAGCAGACGGTACTACAGCAGCAGCAGACGGTACTACAGCAGCAGCAGACGGTACTACAGCAGCAGCAGCAGCTGACGGTGGTACAGCAGCAGCAGCAGCTGACAGTGCTACAGCAGCACCAGCAGCTGACAGTGCTACAGCAGCAGCAGCAGCTGACAGTGCTACAGCAGCAGCAGACGGTACAACAGCAGCAGCAGCTGACGGTGGTACAGCAGCAGCAGCAGCTGACGGTGTGCTACAGCAAGCAGCAGCAGCCTGACAGTGCTACAGCAGCAGCAGCAGCTGACAGTGCTACAGCAGCAGCAGACAATGCTACAGCAGCAGCAGCAGCAGACGGTACTACAGCAGCAGCAGCAGCTGACGGTGGTACAGCAGCAGCAGCAGCTGATGGTGGTACAGCAGCAGCAGCAGCTGACGGTGCTACAGCAGCAGCAGCTGACAGTGCTACAGCAGCAGCAGCATCAGCAGTTGACCATGGTACCACAGTATTTCGATAATATTTCTCACCCTTTTTACCACAGGGTTGGCACTAGAAGCTTTCTTGGGGCCCATGGTCACTTATTTTGCAGATAAAATCACCAAAAACACTGTAATAATACGAAATGTTACGATTGTATGCTTGGATGTTACCGCGGAGGCTGGCTTGTAAACAATGCCACCGGCGGAACATGTGAGGCTGGCTCAGGCCGCACATTAGACGCGTCTCGGACGAACAGCGTTGAGCGGGTTTTTTAGCGGTATGCGAGGCAAAATCTTAGAGATAAAATGTATCGGTATGTGGATTTAACGTTACGTAAGGCCAACGGTATGCGGGGGTCCACTGTACTCATAAATTCTAGCGGCTTCAAATCAAGCAGGAGAAAGCTGGTAGGCCCACATGTGAGAGAATGGGTCTGTGTGGTCAGTGTGCACCATATAAAAAAAATCCTGGAGCACGCAGTGCATAATGAGAAAAAAAAAACTCCGACCGTTTTTTTAATTAAAATGCCGACTTTGTGGTCTATTTTCGTATAGTATTTATGGTTGTATTCTCGTTTTCTTGGTCTCATTTGATAGATTGGAAAACATATTATAGAAATAGAGGTGATTTTGATTGATTTTGCTATAAAAAGAACCTAGAAATTGAGCTTAAATTAGGGGAAATGTTTGATTTTTGCCAATGTTCAAAAGTAAACAAATGATGCCATTGTCCAATAAATGTCCAACTAGCCATTCTAATATGTAGTCATGAATGGGTTGATGTTATTTATACAATTATTACAGCATTGCAGTAGTCTGCATGACAGTAAATCTTCTATTTTTTGTTTGAATAAAACTTCAAAATAGAAAGCAAGAGTAATATCAGAGGGGCCTGGAGACATGACTGATGAGCAAAGAAAATGTTATTTTAGAGCCAGGAATGTCTGCATTGTTCATTTTGGAATTTATTTTGAAATTGTCATATTTTTTAGTTTTCGTGAAATTGGCCAAATTGCAAATTTCTGACCACATTATTAGGTAGTTGAAATCGGTAAATGGGCAGTTTCTTGTACTCAATTGATAGAAAAAATGGAGTTCTAAGGAAATAGCTATTAGTTTGGGCGACTGGAACAATGGAATTAGCCGAAAATAGGGCAAAATCGCCGATTTGTAAACAGCGCCGAGGTCGCTAACTTTGCGAGAGCATAATTCCGTCAGTTTTCCATCAAATTTCGTTTTTTTTGGTGTCATTACAATCGGGAAAAGATTCTCTATCATTTCATAAGAAAAAATAATTTTTTTTTTTTTTAAATTTTGCGACACCAGGAGACACCTCAGGATTGGGGGTTGCGACAGTCAAAGGGTTAACTTAGTTCAACAGTTTTATATTGTTGTGGTGTGTTTTCAGGATTTGTATTTTTAAATGATTTCCTTGTGATGTGGTAGAAAAAATTGTATACCCAGCAGTTTTGTGTCATTTCCATATTGATAATGGTGGCTGTTGGAGTACAAATTGTAAGTATGTGCACACATTTCCAAATGTTTTTGGCATGAGTTCCTTCTCTTCCATTTTTAGTGCATATGCTATGTATGTACTCCGCAAGATTATTTTTTTGGTTGATTTCAATGTGACATGTTTTGAAGAGTACTGTGTATCACATCTCTGAGTGTATGTCAAATTTCTGGGTGTGTTGAGTCTCAGTGAATATTATGGTTGAGTGTATATTATGTTTCTGGGTGCATGCCCTCTGGTCTGGTTTATATCATGCGGTGTTGAGTGTATACCCTATAGTTGGGTGTACATATTTTATATACTGATGAGTTATGTATGTCGTCATGTGGCAGGGGTGTATACCATGTATTACCCACTTGCGCTCCCCCCCCCCTCACAGGGCGCTACACATCACTTTGGCTAAGCCCCGTCCTCTGTCGCCAGCAAGATTGTGCGTACCGCAGTGGAATACACACTCAACAACATCATGATGGATCAGGTGAGTGAAAGTAAGAAAGACTGAAGGAAAGAGTCTTATTAAAGAGTGAGCAAGACTGGGAGAGCGAGAGACTGATTGACAGTAGACATCTGGGGGAGTAAGAGACTACGAACTCTGATTAATTAAAATGGTGATTTTTTTTTTACACAATCCTAATACAGTATTACACTGGTCTGTTTGCTGGTGCTTGCTGAGGCATAAAATAAAGAGTGAGGGATACATTGAGTTTTAAATTAGATAAACTGTGCTGTTTCTCAAAGTCATCATGTTAGTACAGATCCTTTCAAACTTATGATGCTGATATTTCTAAATTAACTCCATGGGGAAGTGAAGACTCCTCCTTCCATAAGCCATGCATGTCATAAGAGGTGACTAAAATGCCAAGAACAAGGGGCTAGTAACCCCTTCTATATAAATTACTAAATATAAAAAGAAGAAAAAACTTTCTGAGAACATTTCTTATTTTTAGGGTCACCCTGCCTCGGTATGCGACGACCAGTGTACATGTATATATTAAAAAAAATTCTAAATCATTCAGAATTGTAATATTTTACCTGGTCTGTATACTAGTGCTTAATGAGGGATATAACAACAAATTATGAGATATAATAATAGGTTATAGCAGGTTGTTTAGTTTGTGAGGAATTTTTATGTACTGTATATATTAGCTTGTGTGTGTGTGTGTGTTTTAAGTATTTGTGTTGTGTATGTATGTATGTATATATGTAGTTTATATTTGTGTGCATGGGACCATACAGGAGTCTCCAGGATGCAGGATGCCTCAATGAGTAGTTTATTGACTACTTCCTCTGACTGTGCCTTGGCCTCTCCTTTCATGCTGCTTCCTTCTTATGTAGTTCTTGTTATCCTCAAAATTATCATTATTATGTGAGTGTTGCTAAACCTCAGGTCAAACAGTCTGTTTTGGTTTACATTTTCATTTCCTCAGTGTGGAGGTGTTATGATTCATTTATTCTTGTTTATACAACAACGACTTTTCTCTTACATATGCTTACACTTAAATTTATGCAAAACTGCTTGTCCATTATTCAGATTTTATTGACATTTAACTAAATTTTATAATAGAACTGCCATTTTCAGGTCAAGTAGTCTGTTAATGCACAGTAGTAAAAAAATTAGGAAGCTTTTGGTTGATATTATTTTTATGATTAGGGGATGTAATCTCATGTTTTTACGATATGAGTATATGTCTAGGTTTCTGGCTCTGGTCAGTGTTTTTCTTTTGTTTTAATTGCATTTACATTGAAGAATCATTGATTGCCTTACACAGTGGGGTTTGTCTAATGATGTTAATTAAATAAAAAATGGTTAAGAGGTTGCTAGAGAAAGATTGTGGGTTCATGTGTGTGGTGTTGAAGTGGTTCATTATTAACTTATACATGTTGAGAGGTTAATTGTTGCCTGTTTTGAGGAAAGGGCATTTATCCATAGAGCCTCAAGTTCAGGAAAGTAGAAGTTATGTAGCAGTACTTACTTATATGATGAATCTAGAATGCTTTCAACAAACATTGAAGTTGATAAATTAGACAAGCGTTTGCGGCATCTAGGTATCCATTTTGTATATGTACATATATGGAAGACTGTAGAAGTGGAGGTAATCAGTCCCTCAGCCTAGGAGTAGGGACTGATTACTTCATCATCTACAGTTTTCCTTTTGTCTACAAAATAATGATACCCAAATGTTGCATATGTTTCTGATTCATCTGCTTGATTGTAGATATGTCAGTCTTATATTGAATGTAATATTGTATGATATAGTACATCCATAGCTTCTGATATACTGTACATGGAATCAATAATTACATTTTATGAACATACACATCAAGTGAACCTGATACACAGTATTCATATTCAATTTGACAATTTGTTTGACCATCTGGAATGGATAGGATGCCAGTGTGCTGGTGCTAGAGAGTTCCTGTTCCTGTCAGTTATTGGTAGGAGGAAGCTGTAGTGGGGGAGGTAAGGAGGGAGGGGTGACTACCAGAACTTGCCTCTGCTGCCAGTGAGTGGGCAGACATTGTGAGGGATCAGTTGTTAGTGACACTTGAGAGAGACAGAGAATTACTTGTTTGTGATTACCTACTAGTAGTTATGGGTGCAAAGCTACACATGTGCTGCCCCATCTTAAGTGTTGAATTTATAAATTTTGTAAAGTTTCTTAGGGTCGTAGCATTTACACATTACTTTCTCTTGGATTTCATTCCACTATCTCTCACTGTTTGTGTAGTATTATTGGTGTCTCATCTGGTACTGTTAGCATTTACATAATCCAGTAATTCTTTTTGTAATATATAAAACAATCTTGCAGTAATGTGATGGATTTCTTCAAGTTTTGTTTTTTTATCCATGTGACATAATTTTTCTAAATAGAAAACACACACACACATTTAGTTTTCATTTTTTGCATATAATGTGTGGCTTAAGTTTGTAATTTTCTGTTCATCCTGCAGTCTTTTAAAATGAATTTTTTTTTTAAATTACTCAATGAAATTTTTACCACACCACAAGCTTGTCAACTTGCTTCTGCACCCAGTGTATTAAATGCAAATCAATGCAGCCAAATATATAAATAAATATTTTTGGTAGAGTAGTTTACACTACACCCTGTAGACATAATGGGATTAAACATTTCAGGAGAAAATTTGGTAATTGTTGTGTTAAAAATAGCTCATGTAAAGTAATGTTTAAGGCTAGTAATCCTACCAGTCCATTTCACTTAAACTGTAACCTGTTTTTCTGCTATTCATATTTCTGTGTCATTCTGTGTAAATACTGGTAGTTATACACTAAAAAATACAGAATCTTGTTTAAGATCTGTAGAATTCCTGGGATACAGTGACAGGGTGTCTTTTGTAAGCTGGTAATCAAATGCTCTCTAGTTTGAATCTTCATTGAGATTCCAGAGAATATTCTTAATTTTCTTTAAAATTACCTGGTAGTTTCCTTACCATAATTGAATCCTCATTAGTAGAAACAAAGAGTCTCCCAAATATCCTGCAAAAATTTATTGTTAATGGATAGAAATTGTGGAGACATCCCAGAAAGGGCTGGAAGGAAGGTGTGAAGGTTTTCAGTGATATGAGCTTGGGCATCCCACAGAATTGTGTAAGCATCTGAGATTAGAGTGAGTAGACTTTTTTTTGGGGATTGAGTGTGCTGTTCATTGATATTAGGAATTTGATTACAGAGGGTTTGTTGTCATTCAAAGTGATAATTAAAAGTTTTGATTGGTGTTTTTTTCTGTAAATCAGTAATTAGTTTGAGAACATTGATGGTTATTGATCCTTGGGCATTGATCCTTCAAATGGAATATTGATAGTCCTCAGGACTGGTGTCTTAGGTGGGAGTTGGACAATTTGGAAAATAATACTTTATAACTAACCCTGTACAGTAACTCCTTGAGAGTTAGCCATATTTGATATGGGTAAAAATTAGTTGTGAAGATCTCCATTATGTACATTATGAGCCTGTGTCCTCATAAATAAATCAGATTAGCTAATCTTATTTTCTGACCGTTGTACATGACTGTTTTAATTGCAACATTTGGGTGATGACATCCATGCTTGTGATACTACAAAGTGATGCATTTTTCACTTGATGGTATCGAAGACATCATTCAAATTTATGAAGGTGGACAAATAAATTCTAATATCAATGGTTTATTCTTCAATACTTTTTTTTTTTTTACATTAGTGGCTATCTCCCACTTAGGCAGAGTGACCCAAAGAAGGAAATGCATTCACCAACATTCATTCAGTTGCTGTCTTGCCAGAGGTGTGCTGACATTACAATTCAGATTACCATCTGACTGCATCATCCCCACCTACTTACTGTATGCCAATCTTATCCTTAAGTACCTTTCATTCTTACATGTCTTGAACAAATGCAGCAACCACTCCATCACTATAGAGGAAACCCTCAATATAATGGACAAATTGGGGGATTGTCCAAGTGTCCTTTAAATCAGAATAATGTTAAAAAAATAGCAGAGAAAAAAGCACCAAAGTACTGTACACCTAATATACTACTGTAACCATGATCTACAGATTTTTATTTTTTATTATTAGCACATCGGCTGTTTCCCACTAAGGCAGGGTGGCCCGAAAAAGAAAGTTTTTCATCATTCACTCCATCACTGTCTTGCCAGATGCGTGCTTACATTACAGTTATATAACTGCAACATTAACACCTCTCCAGAGTGCAGACACTGTACTTCCCAGGACTCAAGTCTGGCCTGCTGATTTCCCTGAATCCCTTCATAAATGTTAGCCTGCTCACACTCCAACAGCATGTCAAGTCCTAAAAACCATTCGTCTCCATTTACCCCTATCAAATACGCTCACGCATGCTTGCTGGAAGTCCAAGCCCCTTGCACACAAAACCTCTTTTACCCCCTCCCTCCAACTTTTCCTAGGCTGACCCCCTACCCCACCTTCCCTCCACTACAGATTTATACACTCTCGAAGTCATTCTATTTTGTTTCATTCTCTCTACATGTCTGTACCACCTTAATAACCCTTCCCCAGCCCTCTGGATAATAGTTTTAGTAATCCCGTGCCTCCTGCTAATTTCCAGATTACGAATTCTCTGCATTATATTCGCACCACACATTGCCCTTAGACATGACATCTCCACTGCCTCCAGCCTTCTCCTTGTTGCAACATTCACCACCCATGCTTCACATCCATATAAGAGTGTTGGTATAACTGTACTCTCATACATTCCCCTCTTTGCTTCCACGGACAAAGTTCTTTTCTCCACAGACTCCTAAGTGCACCACTCACCCTTTTTCTCTCATCACTTCTATGATTCACCTCATTCTTCATAGACCCATCTGTTGATACGTCCACTCCCAGATATCCGAATATGTTCACCTCCTCCATATCTACAGATATACTGCAATAAATATTGAAAATTAAAAAGTTAAAAGTACAATTTTGCCAGTAGATTTTGCCCATAATATTAAAAGTGTTGTATCAGTGTCTTAATTCTATCTATCCTAGCTGCTTTTTCTCCTTGCATTTTATCCACTTCCTTTTACACTTTTCCTCACATCCACCATAGGCCCCTCTTATAGGATATCCTTCCTACCCAGTTGCACTTGCTCATCACCCATTTTGCATCTTTTTTTTTTCTTCGCCAATCATTCCTCAACCCACCCACACCCACCTCCTTATACACAAACTTTTGCTGTACACTCTTGCACTACATCTTAAATTTTCCCCATACCTCTTGAACCTCCTCACTTCCTGTACTCTCTCTAGCCCACCTTTCTCCCAGTAGTTGCCTTTATCTTTCTCCCACTTTAGTTCATTCACTGTCACTTCTCTCTTGATTACTGATGTCATTCTCCTTGCATTCTTTCAAATATTTTTTTAACACATTGGCCAGGTGTTGTAGTTTGTGCAGTACTAGGAGTTAACATTTAAAGAAAAGCTCATTGTGAAGATTACATTGTTTTATTACATGTGTAGTAAGGAAGGCTAGTATAGTACAGTGTTTCATAAGGTGTAGCACAGTTGGTATACTTTCAAGCTGACAGATTGTATTTCCTTACTGTTGGTTTATTGAGTGTAGTACAGTACATTTGATAAGGAAAGTGAGTCTCCTAGTATTCACTAAATAAGCAAAGTATTTTGTTGGTCATCAAAGTTAAGGTGAACTTTCATATAATGGACATTCTAAAGTCAAAAGAATGTGAAGCAAATTTACTGAATTTTTTCTTTAAATTGAAGGGTCTTAATTTTTTTTGTAGTACATACTATATACAAGAAAGAATCCTTCATCATGCTATACAGTCGACATGTGAGTATACTCTAAAGTTGTTCCTTGTTTTGTAATGCAAATAGTAATTGAATATTTTTTAGCTGATTTTTCAATTTTTTTTGTGTACATTGTTTTTTTAAGCAAAATATGCCAACTTAGCTTATTCAATGAGCATTATTTTGCCAAACAAATCATTATACACTATTGATATTTAATATTACAAACTAAAATAAGGCTGACCTTAGATAAGTCAGCCTGATTTTAGGCTGACCTGTCAAAAAGCTATATCTTATTACTGTATGCTAATTTTAGGAAGACTAGATTAAGTTTATAAATTAGTTTTGGTGAAAATTTTTCATATAATTTATCCACCTCAGAGTTTCACTTTTAGTCAGCCATCTTCCTTCATCTTTTACAAATGACAAAACTACTTCAACAGCTCATCTGCTCCATCAGTCCATTTCAATTTCTTTACTCATAATTCTTTATATAATATTAGTACCACATGATATCTTCAACATAATATCTTCACTGTCTCCAGCGTTGCCTTCACTACAACATTAAAGACCATGTCACACACCCCTAAAAAATTTTTATAATATGAAGTTAATTCGATTTAAAACCTTTTTTTTTTTTTTTTTTAGATAACCAGCAAAGTATATTGCTAAAAAGTTCACAAAAAATTTGAAACATTTCTGAAAAAAATATTTTATCAACTTTGTTTTCTTGCAGATGTCAAGTCACCAACAGTTACGCGTCCTCGTGGAACAACTGCAGCGAGAAGCTAATATAGACCGCATGAAAACCTCGGAAGCAATCAACCATCTCAAGGTATAGTGTCCACTGGATTAGGTTTTCTAAATCAGTCTCATGGATACAGATACCAATGCTGAAGTTGGGAGGTGCATGCAGGATATACAGATTGGTGTCTCATTCATCTTTGGTAGTATTTAGCCACTACACAAATTTTGAGAGGAATATCTTTGCACATAAGTTTTAAAAGGAAACATTTAGCATTTATAATTGATATATCATACACTAAAATTAAGGCAAAGGGAATAGCAGAGAACCTTTAACTACTTGTCCATTTAATCACCTGAATGTTTATCCCTATACAGTACTGTATTTATTGTATTGTTTACTTGTTTCATGCATTGCTGTCATAATCCAACCTCATTTAAAGAGTGAAAGTCACAGTACTGTGGCTGAAATAATTCATAAACTTTGAATTGGAGAGGACACTGGACCATGTTTCAGTTTGTCCTGAACCATTTGAGTAGTGATCCTGGCAATGGTTCTGGATGGATCTAAATGTTGCCCACTTTCGTCTCCAGTTTGCAAGTTTTCTTGGATTATTCCTTTGGAAATTATCAAGCAGTCAGCTGAGTATTGGATAGTTAGGGTTGTCTTCCAGGGAAAAAGGAGTCTGCTTGGTTTCCTTGCAGTTTAACTTATCTTAAATCTATTATTTAAAAATTTGCACATAATATTTAGCACAGAAGACCTTGAGCATTTATTTCCTCAGTAGGAGTGCGTTGTGTTAAAAAATACCAGGAATGGGTTAAGAAAGTGTGTGTATGGGTGTGCTTGTGGGGTGTGCAAGTACTTGCCTATGCATGTCTGTAGTGCATGCTTACTTGCCTTATAAGAGCGTCGGTATTATATTGGAACAAAAAGTTTTTTTTACTGTAGATTTAGTATAGTTTTTACTCCCTAGAGGAACCATGATACCTAATGCAGTCTACAAAAAAATCCCCAAGCTGCCTTTCTTGGAAAAAAAAGAAAAAAAATAATCATCAGCTTTACAACCAAACAATACTGGAATTGGTTCCAAATTTGTACATTGAAATAACCCCTTACGAGTCAAAAGGTTTGTTACACGGTGGAAAATATCCCAGTGAAGAGCACGGGAGCAATAAGTATGCTGTACTAAGGGATAATTTGAGCATAAAGGGTCCAAGGATTTACAAAATCTTTAAATGTAGAGGAGGACTTTCCAACAGACCCATCTTCAAGAGGAAAGTTGACAAGTTCCTCTAAATCATTTAATTGACCCCTCTAGCCTACAGCATTGTCACCCATCCTTCAGAATGTAGGCACTGTATTTCCCACCAACTAACCAGTTTCCTTAAACCCCTTCAAAAATGTTACCTTGCTTGCACTTCATACATACATACATTTTTACTGGATAACTGAAGATATGCAAATGTTTTATGCTTGTGAATATGTATGTATTTTGCAATGTGCATTTGTTTGGATAATGTTTAGGTAATACCGTACAGGACATTGTTAGCATTGTTTTGTGCCTTTGTATATGTTTACTTTTTTTTTTTTGTGAGAGTATATGTACAGGCATACATTAGGTATACCTGTGTGTACCTGCATGTATTTATATGACACATAAACATTTGTGCATATACTTTAGTCATGCATGCTAGCAATTGAGGAAATATTGTGCCTGATGTTCAAAAGGGTGGCTGTGCAGAAATTAGTTTAGGAAATACAATGTGTGTGTTTACCAACAAAGCACAAGAGTATTTTGTAATGTACAAAATACTAGACTATATGGACTGTGTATAAGATGAGGTAAGTGATGGTAATTTAAATACTTTCCTGCACAGCGACATTAAAACAATTGGCAGCATAACGAAACACATAAATGTGATTAACTTTGGTTACATAGAAGATATCTGGAGAGATGATCTTGGTTATGTGTGAGCACCGCGCTGATGCCCCTGTGATTATTGCGACAGAGGTACATCTCGGAACACGAGGCAGAGGACTACCTTCTGGTCGGCTTCACCTCTCAGAAGGCCAACCCATTCCGTGAGAAGAGCTCCTGCACCGTCCTGTAATGTGTAAGCACCTAGACTTGCTACCCAAAACTCACCCATCTTTATACATAATATATAAGATATTTTTTTCTTTTTATGGCATGATTTATTATAAAGGCCAATACAGAATGGATATGACATAAACTCTTCTTATTTTTTAATTGTTTTAATTTGTACTGCAAAGTTGCACAGTCACTGTTATGGTTATATTGTAGTTGTTTCATCTACCATGTAGATAGTGATAAGAAAACAGATATTTACTGAGCAGACATTCACATGGTGGGTCCTAAGGGGGGCTGAGTGTCTACAGTGAGTAGCTTCTGATATATAATATTTTGATTTGTCAGGTCATCAGGAGGTCTTACTGTGATGTTTGATTTTGGATTTTGTAATTGTCAGTTTGTAGCTACAGAATCAGAGGTATGCTTTTGGTGTCCCATCCTTAGTAAATAATTCATTATATAATTTCAAATGGTTGTGGCATGTAGTACCTCTTCTTTTAATAATCCATTCCACTGCTTCACCCCTCTAAATAATAACATGAATTTAAAACAGTGGTAAAAAAAAAACTCGAAGGAAGGTGAATTATTTTTAGTACAAGATGTTCAATTCTATACCTAATTTTTAAATTTTATAAAGTACATGTACTACTACAGGTCCTCCATCACAAATCCGGCATCATTGGGACCTGTAGTGTGCTGGATTACCGAGTTTGCCGAATTACAGAGTGGTTAGGTTAGAATACACTTAATAAAATTAACCAACTTAACTTACACAGTTCATTGAACATCGGCAAAAATCGAACATTACCGCTACTTTGAGCTCAATTTCAAGGTACTTTTCGTTATGAAAGCAATCAAAATCATGTCTATTTCTGTAATATATCTTCCATTCTATCAAATGAGTCCAAAAAATGAGAATACAACCATAAAACCATATGAAAATATACTGCAAAGAGGCGGCTAATGGCTGAGAAGTGAACTCCCTTATTTATCGTCCGTCTTTTTTATTTTTGTTGTACGTTAAGAAGTATCTTTCCATCATACATTGCCCAAGTTTCAATGAGATAGCCCAACAAACAACTGAGAAAAAAAATATTTACCAAAAATCATATATGGCAATCCCAAGCCAGGTACTGGAAATCAGTCACTTTGTCTGACTTTTCTGGGCTATCCTAGGTTCTCTATACAAACACTGCTATGTATGATAATCTATGTAACTGTATTTGTGTATACCTGATTAAACTTATTTACTTCTAGTCTGTCATCTGAGTACAAGAATCCGCCCATTCACTTATTTCAACTACCCAATAAAGTGGTCAGAAATTGGCAATTTGGCCAATTTCATACAAATTTCAACAGATGCCAATTTCAAAATAGGGTCCAGAATAAACAATGCAGACATTCCTGGCACTAAACGTTTTCTCTGTTCATTAGTCACGGCTACAGGCCCCTCTTGTATTACTCTTGCTTACCATTTGGAATTTTTATTCACAAAAAAATAGAAGATTTACTGTTATGCAGACTGCTGCATTATTTTAATAATTGTATAAATAATGTCAATCCATTCTTGACTCCGTACTGGAATTTGGACTGGCAGGCGGACAGGTATTGGACGGTGACATCATTTGTTTACTCTTGAGCTTCGCTAAAGAATAGAACATTTTCGCTACTGTGAGCACAATTTCAAGGTATTTTCATCATGAAAGCAATCAAAATCATATCTATTTCTGTAATATATCTTTCATTCTATCAAATGAGACTGAAAAAATGAGAATATAACCATAACAACCATACAAAAATATACCGCTAAGCGGCCGCTTATGGCTGAGAAGTGAACTCCGCTATTTATGGCCTGATTTCTTTCATTTTTGGTGTACGTGAAAAAGTATCTTTCCATCATATATTGCTCAAGTTTGAATAAGATAACCCAACAAACAACTGAGAAAATAATAATAATAATAATAATAATATATTTACTACACATACATGTACAAGGTATACAGGCCTAGCTGACATCAGTGACATACTACTGTATAGAAAGGCACTTGTTTTCTTTCTTTCAACACACCGGCCGTATCCCACCGAGGCGGGGTGGCCCAAAAGGAAAAACGAAAGTTTCTCCTTTTACATTTAGTAATATATACAGGAGAAGAGGTTACTAGCCCCTTGCTCCCGGCATTTTAGTCGCCTCTTACAACACGCATGGCTTACGGAGGAAGAATTCTGTTCCACTTCCCCATGGAGGTAAGAGGAAATAAACAAGATCAAGAACTAGAAAGAAAATAGAAGAAAACCCAAAGGGGTGTGTATATATATGCTTGTACATGTATGTGTAGTGTGACCTAAGTGTAAGTAGAAGTAGCAAGACGTACCTGAAATCTTGCATATGTATGAGACAGAAAAAAAAGACACCAGCAATCCTACCATCGTGTAAAACAATTACAGGCTTCAGTTTTACACTCGCCTGGCAGGACGGTAGTACCTCCCTGGGCGGTTGCTGTCTACCAACCTACTACCTAGAAAAGGCACTTGTTTTGCTGAGTATTTCAAGAAAATTTGGTCAGTGTCCCAGGATAACACCCACACTAGTCGACTAACACCCAGGTACCCATTTACTGATGGGTAAACATAGACAACAGGTGTAAAGAAACACGCCTAATGTTTCTACCCTGGCTGGGAATCGAATATTTACCAAAAATCATATATGGCTAACCCAAGCCAGGTGCTAAAAATAAGCCACGTTGACTTTTTTGGGGTTATCCTAGATTCTCTACACATATGCTGCTATGTGTGATAATCTATAGAGAGGAAATAACTTTTTTGTTTCATGTTTATGGGGGAGTACGAGTGTATATCATACCCCTGTGCTATACTCCGTTTTCTCTAATATAAGCCACCAAGACAAGGATAGGAGAATGGTATTTGTTTACCATATCCTCTTCATAACTCTGTCGAACTGCTCGGTGTTATGCCAAATATTATTCATTCTGGAGTATTTAACATGTTTTATGTTATTTATATTGTTTCTTATGTCATATTAGATCAATTGTGATAGGCAAATAACTGTAGTGTTGATATTACGTAATAATAAAACATATTCTCCTGCTTCATGAGACTGAGCTCATGGCAAACCGACAGTGGCTTCAAGCCACCTTATCTTTAATGGATAAAGTACTGTGTAGGTGCTTTACATAATGAGAAGCATTTCTTTTATTCATTGGAACCATGGCTAGGGCTAAAAGTAAGGGGGTTAACCCTTTCAGGGTCCGTCCCGTAGATCTATGGCTTCACGTTGAGTGTCCAAACCGTAGATCTATGCCAAAATTCTAGCGCCGTCAAATTTAGCGCAAAAGCGCTCATAGGTCTACAGTGAGAGAACGGGTCTGCGTGGTGGGTGTGTGCCATAAACAAAAAATCTAGGCGCCCCCATAAACATTGTGGGGAAAGCCGGCTCAGTTTCCCTTGTTCACCATGCCCCGTCGCAAGTCAGCTCTCACTCCCGGGAAAATTGGGACTCTCCTCATCCTATCTGATATTTCTGCACTGATGGAAGTGGAAATGAAGACCAAATTCTATGGCTTTGATCAGTTAGTGACCGAAAGGGAAAGACCAGGATATCGATAATAGTGCAGAAAACCCTGACGATCCCAACCTTTTACCTCTGGTGTGGGCACTCGTGGGCTCACGGTCGTTGTACCTCAACGCAAGAGAAAACTAATATTTTCGCGTGGCCAGGCCTCTGACTTCAGTAAATGATGATGATAGTGACGTGGATTGTTGATTTTATTGCGCTTTACGATCATTCAAATAGTGATAGTGAGGAATCATATTCACCAGTGAAGGGATCGGTATGTGTGCCGCCGCCATGCGCTGGGTAGTGTACCCTATGTGTGCCCAGGGGACGGAGTACATCCCGTGGCTCTACACCAGGTTTAGATAGTGAGAGTGAGGATGATGTGGCTACATTGGCATGTATAGACCACAGCATCATAGATGGTGGTGTGGGATGGGAGGGACCCCCATGCATGACCAAGTTTCCTCACAGACACACACTGTAAGTTTTTCAGAAGTTTAACCTTATCTGTTATGGATAATGTACGGTGTTTGCGCTTTACACAACGAGAACACTTCCTTTCGTTGGATGGAACCATGGCTAGGGCTAATAGTGAGCAAGTTTTAGCTAGTAAATGGAGAGAAAAAATAAACAAATTGGATTGACTTTGCTCTAAGTAGCGGGCCACCAGGTCTGTAGCAGCGACCCCCGGAAATTTAAAACCCTTTCACACTTTGATCAAAAAACCCTCACCACATCAAAGAAATCCTGTGCCTTGAGGGTTTTCCATATTGAGTTTTTTATTAACCACAAAAAAATAGAAGATTTGCTATTATGCAGACTGCTAAATTATTGTAAAAAAAAATGGTTTTTAGAAATAATATCAGGGCATTTGTGAAAGCATATTAGACCCACCAGCTGACAGTAATAGACGGAGTGATATAATTTTGTTTACACCGAAACATCGGCAAAAATTCGAAACACTTCTGTGCTTTGACCTCATTTCAAGGTACTTTCGTCATGAAAAACCATCAAAATCATATCTATTTCTGTAATATATCTTCCATTCTTTCATAATGAGACCAAAAAACAAGAATACAACCATTAAGAACTATAAGGGATAAATACCACTAAGGGGCAGCTAATAGCTGTGAAGTTAATTCCATTAATATCGTCCAACTTTTTTTTGTGTTATCCTAGGTCTCTACACTATGCTGCTAGGTATGATTATCAATGTAGCGTAAAATAGCTTTTTTGTTTCCAGTTTTATGGGAGTACGAGTGTATATCCCAGATAGCCCCTGTGCTATACTCTGTTTTCTCTAATATAAGCCCCATCCAAAGGACAGGGATTTAGGCGAATGGTACTTGTATACTATATTCCTCTTCCTACCTCCATTGATCCATCTCGGTATTATGCCTAATGAGTTATACCAGAAAAAGTTGTTACGGTAGGGGTTATAATTGAAAGAATTAGAAGGGTAAGACAGAATGTAGGATTGTGGATGAGCAAGGTGGTTT